CCTCTCAGTCTTCTCTTCTTGAGGCTGAACAGGCCCAAATTTAGGAGTGAAAAACCCGGTTTTCTGTAACAAGTGCTGTGACCAAAGTGTGGGTCTGGGTCAGAGCTGAGCAGGAGCTGGTCAAGCACATCCCTGTGTCAAACCTGCTCCTTCCTCCTGGGCCCACGAGCCTTGACATTCCTGCTTCTTCTGGAGAAGAGAACAAACAATCCCCTTTTGTCAGTAGTTGAATTGCAAAAGGGAAGCAACTGTCCATCAAAGAGCAGCTCAGCCCCATGGCTCTGATGGCCAGAATGCCACTGAAAAAAAAAAGATTTCTAATCTCTTAATTTGGAAGTTTGCTCCTCTTTGGGAAGGGCTGCTTTACTTCCATTGACTTCAGCTGAAAACAGGGATCTGAGGCACATTTGGAAATTGGTTACAGGTGCCAAAGCCAATTAACATGGGCTTGAAATCAATCTCCTCTGCTTTTACCTCTTTGTTCCCATTTTTTGCCTACGTCTTTGACTTCCAAATGTACATGTTTTCATTTGGCACTGAATTTGTATTGAAACTCCTGTCAATAACTCAATACTAAATAATCTATAATAAGGAAATATATATATATAATATATATAATATATATTATAAATATATTTTTATATATATAGCATATATATTATAAATTGTATAAATCATATATATTGTATATTATATTATATATTATATATTATATATTATAAATTGTATAAATCGTATATATTGTATATTATATTATAGATTATATATTATATATTATATTATATATATATCTTGCATGGGGTTGTAATGTAGTATACTGCTTATTTTATTTATATGGGCTAGAGGGCTGATGCTTTGAAATTAGAAATAAAGGACTCCTAGTGATGGCTATATAATATTATATATTATAAATACAATATAATATAATAATGTATAATAGAATATAATAATGTATAATACAATAATGTACAATATAATATAATATAATAATACTGAGACATCTGTGGCCATTCTGTGTTTGTGATCTGCAGGTGACTGTCACCTTGCCAGGCCACAGGGGAATGAGAGGTGGAGTTGCTGAAATAAATGGTTTAGATGAAATAAATATATAACAGAAATAATAACTGCAAATATATAAAATATAAAGTATAGAAACATATTTTAATATAAATATATAATTAATAAATATAAAATAAATAATGAATATGAAATAAATATATAAAATAGATGAAATAAGTGGTTTAGTAAAACTGGGGAGACTAAGTTTAATTTCTCTGTAGGAGGTAAGACATGAAGTTGAGATCCCAAGATCTGCCCCATAGATCTGAGGCACAAATCTTATTGTTCCTGCTGAGAGGGAATGGGGTTTTCTCCTTGAATCAGACACACAGTGAAAGGAAAACAAATGAGACTGTGGCTGTGGAAATTGAGAAAATGGAGGAGAAAGAGTGAAGGAGGAACCAATGGAATAAATGATAAATAAATAATTTCCTGTCAGTGTTCACAAGCTTTCTGTGCTGACTGTTAATCCCCAAGATATCCTCTTGTTTCAAGTTCCTGGATGAATGGTGAAGCACTTCTTTTTCCATGTCAATAACCACTGGAATATGTGATAGCAAGTTTAAATATGCCCTTAGAGCAAAACTTCAGCTTTGAAATTCCTGCTGGAAAATTGCGTGGAAAGAACGGGGCGAAAAAAATCAGAAGGAAGGCAAATAGAATTCCCAGTTTCAAAAAGAAAGAAAAATTACTTCCAGAGAAATAATAATGAAATTCCTCTTTGTGCTCCGGGAAAGTTTCAGCTCCGGGAGTGGAAAAGGGTGTGAAGTTGGTGCCTGGAGCCGTTCATGTGACTTGATCCCCCTGATCTTTGTTCTCTTTCAGGACGACACTGAGCCCTACTTTATTGGAATATTTTGTTTCGAGGCTGGGATAAAAATCATCGCTCTGGGGTTTGTTTTTCACAAAGGCTCTTACCTGCGGAACGGCTGGAACGTGATGGATTTCGTCGTGGTCCTCACAGGGTAGGTGACGTCTCACCCCGACTTTAAGGGGGCCTCTCACTCCGATTTGTGTTGGTTTTTACCTCTGGGTTGGGGTGGGATTGATTTGAGGGAAATATTATATCCCTACATTTCTGACTGTAGGATTTGTTGTGCTGAACGAGTCACTTTTAGAGTGTTGGAACCAACTAAAAAGCGGTTTTCCTCAAGGATATTTATTTGTTGGTGTTCTGGTGGGTATCTTATCCAGAGTTTTCCTGACATTTCCCTGGCTTTGCAGGTTCTGTTTGCCACTGGTACTTGAGCCTGATTTAAACCAATCTATTTAGCATTACAGGATGACTTTAAAAGTCAACATGGAGCGTGCTAACAAATTAAAAGCATCCCCTTTTTAAGCTATTACAACTCTGAAATCAGCAAAGTTTTTGCAGGAGTGCATTTGTTCTGCTACCGAATAACTTTTCTGAACAGAATTCAAAGATGCTTGAAAAGAATTCAAAATGTCTTATTAAGGCAAATGTCACCCGTGTATGTTGTGCAGTGGTTTGAAATGATGTCGCTGGTTTCTTTCTTGGAAATGCTCACAATATTTTACATTAGAAACTGTTGTAATGTGTATTTATTTATATGAATGGAGGGTATAACGGAAACAGGAATATTAAGTAGCACTTGTAGTCTACAAATTGGGCTTTAAAGCTCCAAAGGAAATGTTCCCTGAGGTCCTGAGCTTGCAGCCTTCCGCTTGGAAGGATTTCAGTCAGTTTTCCCCCAGCCTGGTGTTAACATGCTTCCCAAATCCTTCCTTTCCCACACCTTCTCTGCTCCTGTGTGTGAATGTGTCCATATTTTCTGGTTAGTGGTGGAGAGCAGGGAAATGCCTGCACACATATACAAATGTATTCATTTGCCACATTATCACTGGAATTCTCTTTGCATTCAGGGCACGATGTGATCCAGCAACTGAGAGGCCAAAGGGAATCCTTTATGCATTGAGAGGAAGAGAATAAATATGTGGGGTTTGATTCTCCTGCTGCTGGGTTGGGGATTTAATCAATGGGAACTTCAGTGGAGTCACGAGGAGAATCAGATTTACGTACTCGGGAGCACGGGGGGTACCAGGATGAGAAGAGAATTAGCACAGATGCTACAACTATTCACACCCATGGCATGTGCTGATTCCTAGTCAGTTCTGCGCCCTTTTGTGAGTTAAAAAAAAAAAAAAAAATTAAAATCAAGGCCCTGATTCTGGAAGGCACTTTGGAATGTGTTTTAATTTATCCTTCAACAAAGCATTCAAGTACACCTTTGGATTCAGCTGACTCCAGCGCTTCTGCACTCAAAGCTAAGGCTCTACAGAAAAGCTTTTCTGAACTCCAGCCATATTGTTTAGACAGGGCTATTTTATTTTCTCATAAACACATGCCAGGAATCAAGAGATGTTTGGTTCCTTTACAAGTGAGACGCTCAAAGTTTTACAAGAGCAGCTGGAGCGTCGCTCGTGGAATCGCCGCGGGCCGTGAGACGCCGAGCGCCGGTGTCTGAGCGGAGCTGGGCTTGTTGGGGGAGCTCTGTTTGATCTGGGAGCATAATTGAGGACTATCAGCTCGATGAGGCAGCTGGCCCGAGGAGCCCTGTTCCCTCTGCAAACAGGCGTGTTCCTCTCCAGCACAGTCCCGGCCACGTCAGAGCTGCTGGTTTCCAATGGTGACACCAACCGGGCTCCGGGGAAGCCGCCTCGTACGGGGGCTTCCCACCAGGCGGGCAGTGCAGGGGTGGCAAAGGCTGCAGCACTAAGCCCGAGAATCGTCTCCCCAGACCCCTAATCCTCTCATTCAAGGGCTGGATGTAACATTTTTGGTGCTCGGGGGAAGGCTCCTGAAAATCCTGGCGTTCCTCATGTGCTGGGTTGGATTCCTTCCTGAGCATGGGGCTGCCTTTCCAGCCCAGGAACGAGCTGGAGGGACCTACAGTAGAGAAACAGCACTGCAAGACCTGCAGCCTCACACAGGGGACTGAATTAGTGTTTTCTCTGTAGCCTGTGGTGTTTTTCCTAGATCCTTACTGTGTTCTTAGCTCGCTGCTGTGTTGCCATGGGGCTGTGCTGGAAAGCAGGAGCTCCTCTTCCTTGGGCTTCCTTCACTGCCCAGAAACCTTTTCATCCCTCCTCTGCTTGCTTGGGCTTGGGGCTTTGATTTAGGGGCTTGGAGAAGCCACAGCAATGTTGTTTATTTGAGACAAACATCCCCTTTTTCTCATTTGAGACAAATCTCCTTGATTCTGCCTCGAGACTGAAGGCAGGTTGTTGAGGAAGAACATTTGCTGCTGCCAAACCCAGCTGGTTCTCCAGGGAGGGACTGAGAGGTGGTGACATGAGTGGGAACTTAATTTTCACTTCTGTGGAAGGGAGACTCAGATCTGTGTGTTTCAAAAAATGATCGGGCTGTAATTTATTAGGGAATAATAAAAGAGGACAGTGCTAAGCCAGTACTTAATGCGTTCTTATAAATATAGATAGGTAGGACATCAGTTTTTGAAATACCACTTTACTACTCTATCAAAAGCTTTCCTTTGCCATATGTGCAAGGTTTCTACTTGGAAATGTTACTTCATGTTTCCCAGGCAGTGATCAGTGTTCATTCCCAAGCTCAGTTTCACATTAATCTTCGATATCACAGAGGGATTTTGATTTCTCTCTCTCTCCCTTATTTTTCTTAATTTTATTTCTGTGTAAGCATGAAAGATCATGAAAACGTGTTTCATGATACCACACAGAGAGCTGTGTACCCACTAATCCTGTTGAGTGCCCGTTTTTATTGAGGTAAATGCTGAATGTCAGAAAATCTGATCTCATTTTCAGCTTTTAGCTAAACCCCACAAAAGCAAAGAGCAGCTCTGCTCTCGTTATCTGTTTCCATAGGAAAAAGGGCAGAGTCTGGGTGTGTTTTGGAGGAGGCTGTGGGGGAAGGCTCTGCATTGATTGAACTCACCCTTATGTAAATACTACAGTGATCATGCAGAAATCCTTCCCACCTGTTTTTTCCAACCCCCCCCCTTTTTTTTTTTTTGCCTGCACCCTGGAATTATCGATAAATGTATTTTTTCATCTCCCTGCAACGATGGAGATTTTGTTTGTCAAAAACCAGGCAGCAGAAGCTGTTAATCAGAAAATACAGCAGGGCTGTGTTTTATGCAGCCAGGATCAATATCCCACTGAGCTAAACCCGAGTCTAACAGACAGTGGCCCAAAATGCCTTGGTTGTCATTCCAGAAAACCCTCCCTCGGTTTCTTTCCACAGTGGGGCCTATTTCTCATTTGCTTCCAAGGAATCCTGCTGACTTGCTGTTAGTAAAGGCCTGGGAGAAGAATAGATTGCTGCTTCTTGGAAAGATTTCGGTCCCTTTGTCCTTTTTTTAGTGATTTCTGGTGGACTCCTCGGGCTGTAGACGAGCACCCAGGAAAGCTGCCCTGCTAGGATGTGCCTGTTGCTGCTGTGGAGAGAAATACATGTATTTTATAGCTCCTGCTCACTTCATTTGCACATTTTTAGGGGATTGGGTTCACTCCAGTGATGACATCACCCATTAGCATCTCTAAATCACCCCAAATTGCAGTTTCTCAGCTGGCCTGGGACTGTATGATCTTAATGCACTTTTTCCAAGGTAGAGGCAAAGGGATTTTTTAACTCTGTCACTGGAACGTGTTTTGGGTTGGAACCCTCAGAAATCCACAGTCGTCTTTGGAACAAAGTTGTCCTATCCCCAAAGTCCTCAGGTGGCACTGGATGGAGATGTGAACCTGGATAGGGGGCCTGGAGGGTCCAGGCCTGTTCCTCTTGGAATTTGTGGCAAGTTTTCTCCTGGGCTTGGGATACAACAACCCAAAGAACTGCTGTGCAGGGTTTACCTACAAACATCCTCTCCAGCTGGAGCTGGTGTCACAGGCTGACTGCTGAGGACCAAGGCATGGCTAAAATGATCCTGAGCTTTCTGGTTCCCAAAATTCAGATGTCTAGGGATTTTTGAGGTGGAAAAAAAAGGATCTTTTAAAAGGGCTTTTAACCTGTGTGGTCCAAGGGGTCTGTCCTCCTTGGTTGTATTTTGGAGCTTGTTTATACTTTTGCTTTCATTGTATGGTGGGTAATGGGTCCTATGGTTTAATTACATATCACAACAAAGGTGCTGCTTATGCCTTTTTTTTTTTTCCAGCACCAGCTACCTGAGGTTTCCTTTGGTGCCTTCTAGATTTTGTACAGTAGAGTTCGAATAATAATCATTCAACTTCCTGCATGTTTATGGTTTTAATAAACTCCAGCATTTCTCCAGTCAGAGATTTATGCTGCCCAACCTCCCTTGACCTGAGTTTTCCGTGCTCCTTTGCTCTGGTCCTTTCCCAGTTCCATCCCATCCCCTTGGAGTGCCCACAACTGTGTCTGGTGTTTGTCCAACGCCGGGAGTTGCTAAAACTGCAGCGCTTGAAAGGATCCTGCCCCGTCCTTTCTGAGCAGAATTAATTCCTTTTGGCTTCCAATCAGCCTGGATTAAACACTCTCGAAGAGTCCTGGTGGCTCCTTGAGCCAGTTGGATCAGCTGCCTGGATCTCTGGGTGGGACTGGCAGAGACAGCGTGTGCCAGGCCCGGAGCTGCCAAATGATGTGCCCAGAGTGTCGGTGCTCTTATGGGTGTCTCAGGCTGTCTGGAACAAATTGCAAAAAAGCTGGAATTATCCTGATTGTCTGAGCAATGTGCTCCTAGCTCCTGGTGACGCTGATGATTTGGAAGGTAACTCGTTTGGTAACCCAGTGATGTGTCCAGTTCTGGGCCCTTCAGTTCAAGAAGGATGTTGAGGTGCTGGAGCAGGTCCAGAGGAGAGCAACGAGGCTGGGGAAGGGACTGGAGCACAAGTGCTGTGAGGAGAGGCTGAGGGAGCTGGGGTGTTCAGCCTGGAGAAGAGGAGGCTCAGGGGAGACCTCCTCACTCTCTACAACTCCCTGACAGGAGGGGGGAGTCGGGGGGGGTTGGTC